AATTAGACTATATTAAAACTAAGACATCAGTAGGAGAGTGAAAAATGCAACCCATAGGATGTGAGAAGATAGTCCCAGATGTACCTCTGACGAAGGACTGGTATCCAGAATATGAAGAGTTCTTCCACATCATTAAGCAGGAGACAGATAACTCAATGTAGAAATGGGCAACCCCCACCCCAGACTTCACAGTGGGCAGGAGACGGGCAGGAAGCACATGAAAAAGTGCTCATCTTCATTCATAACAGGCAATTGCAGAATAAAACCACAGTGTGACATGCCGTTTACGTGAGAGAGTGGCAAACAGGAAAAAGAAAATACGAAGTGCTGGTGAGAACATGTGGCTGCCAGAATTAGAATATGCTGCTGGTAAAAGTGTAAAGTGTGTCAGCCTATTTGGAAGACTATTTGGCAAGTGACAGCTAAAGCCAAACATATGCACATCCTGTGGCTCAGAGATTCTACTCTTTATGTATGTGTACATGTATCCAAAAGAAATGCACACATCTGTTCACCAAAAGACAGTCCAGAATTTCCACCGTAGCAGTCTTCAAAACAGCACAAACGTGGAAATGTGTATGCCTGGCATCAGCAGAATGATCAGATAATGATGTATTCATACAATGAAATACTGTAGAGTAATAAGAATGAAAAGTCTGTGACTATTTGCAATGAGATGGATCAGTCTCATAAATATAATGTTAAAAGAGAAAGACACAAAAGGGTATGGAGCATAGGAGTCCATTTACGTAAGGTACAAAAACAGGTAAAACAAATCTTGGCCATTAGAAAAGGAATAATGGTTACGATGGTTACTGGAAGGGGTAGTAACTGCAAAGGAGCCTGGGACAACTGTCCTGGGGTGCAGGTAATAATCTATTTCTTGATCGGGGTTCTGGTGACACAAGTATGCTTCTTTTGTGAAAATTCACCTAAGTGTACAGTTACATGTACTCTTCTCTCTATTTCCACGTAGGAAACCCCTTTTACTTTCAGACAGTTGTCTTACTATGTACCTTAAAGCATTTTAAAACTCCAAGCTGAGCAGTGTCCTTTCTCAGCCGTGTCCTAGCACTCCCAGGATGAATGGATGCCATTCAGTTAGTGCGTCTTCTTGGGGACACCTAGAAACTGGAGATTGCTAGGTTCAAAGATGAGTTGGGGTTTTATTTCAAGGCAGTATCCCCGTGAAATTAGGTTATATAGTAGTATCTACAAAAAACTGTGGAGAGAATTTTTAGCTCAGAAGTAATTTAACTGAGGATTTCCTTCTCTCTTTTTCCTTGGAATAAACTATAAAATTTTATTGAAGAACATAAAAAAGACCTGAAAAAATACAGATAAATCCAGTGCTTGGAATGTGAACCCACGCACTGTGCCTTCAACAACCACACACTTAACAACTCTGATTCGCAAATAACTTGCTGGTAACCCTCACGGAGACAGTATAGGGAAATTCGCTGAGGATTTCTTAATAATTTAAGATGAATCCCTAATGTCAGATTATCCAGTAACCAGTGAAAAATAAAGTCTATTTGCTCTTAGTAAAGACATCATATCAGGGCTGCAGGTCGGTGACCCACTGGTCTATTAAAAGAAAAGAAATTAATCTCACCAACATTAGACTCATGTGCTTTCTAGATACTGAATAGCTTTATCTAAACATTCAGTGTGAAATTAAGGATGAATTATGTTAGCTATAGCCTCCAAGACACACAACTAAATGACATATGAGGATTATGGATCCTCATGAATGGATTGGGAACAGAAAGTCTATAAAGGATCCAGGGAGGATGCTACCATATCCTCAGCTTCTAACAGCGTGTGGGTCCTAGTCTTACTCACCATCATTTCTCTAATTACCTTGTTCTGTTGTTACTGTTACTCATTAGCACAATTCTCAGCTACTTCAGTGCCGTGTTGGAAATGTTTGGACAAACTGAAATTTCCTGATTTATTACTCCTACGTGGATCGGCGGGAATGTTCAGCCAGTTGTTTATGCGGCTCTCTGCACGTGCACTTATTGGAAAACCCTGCTGAGGTTATCAGAGAATAAAATCTTTCTGAATTATTTCACAGTATTTATAAGCCTTGGAATCAAGGAAACAGCAACGTGGAACTTGAGACTTGGACAGTTAATCTCCTGAACAATGCATACGTAATAAAAGAAACAGGGTTCCCCCCAAAAGACAAAGAAAGGAGTCCAAACTATGTGTCCATACAGTTTTTCTTTTTGAAGGAGCAATGTGGAATGATAAGGAAAAGGAGAAAGGCACTAGGGGAAGAGAAAAAGAGGAAAAGAAAAAGGGAAACGAATATATATCAAATGATGATCACGTGCTTCCTATAGGTTAATACAAAAAAGCCAGACACGGAAAGGAGGAAAAGTAGACAAAGATATAAGAGTTCCAATTTTATAGGGATAAAAATAAGAAAGAAGAGATAGACTATGGAATTTTATGTTTTTATTAATTTTATGTTTCAATTAGGGTTCAGAACCAGATTAATACACTCTAATATTAATTGTTCATAGAATGCATTACCATTAATCATAGAAATTAGACTCTGACAACTTGTAACTGCAACTGAAATTTGTTTGAACCTTTGTTTTAAAAAATGAACATTCAAAATAATGCCAGAGAAGCTTAAAAACTCTTGCTTTAGAAGTCTGGAATTGTATTCTGTTAGAGTTTAATATATTATGTTCATTTCCAGTGTAATTGGAAATTGTTAAAAAGGAAATTTTCCGTGAGTCCTCCTTGTATGTAAAATAACACATCTCCAAACGAATACGTGAGAAACTGGGATCGCCACCTTAGAACTCAATTAAATTGCACTTACAAGAAGTATCAATTCAAAGATCGCCCAAAGCTGGACAAGGCTCTCTGTTTCTTAAGGCCCTGTTTCTAATACCGCTACGGCATAGAAATCCAATCACTTTGGACCACTTGATGTGTTTGAAGAGGAGACTGCTACCAAAGGACAAAAAGGAGAGTTGGGGGGAGAAAAGACACTAATGGGTGGACCCTAAAGAATGAAGGTATTGCGTTAGGTAATTTCTGGTTAATATCTGTTTGTGTGTTTTTTAACAGTAAAACTTTAGTTTGGAAGAGCAGAGGGTCTGCCAGAAGTAGTTGTGAAAAAATAATTTTGGAAATCTGAGATTCTGCGAAATAGCTGATTTCTCCCCAATCCTGAAGCCATGCACGTATGACCATTATTTAAAAATCCAGAACTTTGAGAGGTTAAATACTTTTTAAAAACGTTTTATTTATTTTTGAGAGAGACAGAGACAGAGTACTAGCAGGGGAGGGGCAGAGAGCGAGGGAGACACAGAACCCAAAGCAGGCCCTGAGCTGTCAGCACAGAGCTTGACACAGGGCTCCAACTCACGAACCATGAGATCATGACCTGAGCCCAAGTCAGAGGCTTAACTGACTGAGCCACCCAGGTGCCTCTAGAGGTTAAGTACTTTTAAAAATGTCTGCTTATCCTCTCTTCCTTTGAGGAACTGCCCCTCTCTCAGATTCCAAGTGATGCTGGGGTCTGCTGATCATGTATGCTAGGGGTGGACGTGTGATTCGATCTAGGACAGTCATTCTCTCTCCCCTGTGAAAATGAGAAGAGGTAGGTGGAGCCAAATCACTAACGGCACAACCCTAAAGGAAAATCCTCAGGTTTCTCCCAAGTGTTGCCTTTCCTGAGGTTTGGTTTGGTTTGCAGCTCTTTCTTCTATCAGCTACTCAGTACATTCCCAACAAATCTGTCCTTCGTGCCTGAGGGAGAGTTTGTTTTGACCTTTGCTGCCAAGGGACTTTCTTACAGACTTGAATGCATCTTCGCGACCACAACATGCACCTCGGGGGGCACCACAGTGGAGGAATTGTGCTGTGGCCACCGGAGGACTTGCCACAGATAGATGCAGAGACCCCTGTTGGAGCCCTGGGGCACTGGGGCATACTGGGATGTCATGTGGGAACCAGCACTAGCCTATGAGAAGATTTATCTCCATCACTCTTAGGACATTTCTCCTGATACTTCTTAAACTCTCAACTTTGTATATGTGCCCAACTAGATTAGAAGCTTCTGGACGGCAGGAACTGGAAAATGACCTTTCTTTGTCTATCTCGAAGTGCTTAGGATAATGCTCAACACAGAGCAGACACTCAATATTAACCACAGAATCAATGCATCCGTAAGCTTTTTCCTTAGCTCCTTCTGCAAGACAACAATACTTTACTCCAGACAAACGGGGGCTCAAGTCTCTGATCAGAAATCATAAGTTCCCTACAGGGAGGCAACAGGCACCAAGAGGAAACAGGGCTCAGACCGAGCTTTCCCACTTGTGTTTTGTATTTCATGATTTCCTGCCCTGGTAGAGGCTCGTCTGACAGACCTATCCCAGACACTCAGAAGTCACGTTTTGGTAACTAAAAGCAAACATAAGCATTTAAATTGCTCTCCTATTTATAAACGCCACAGAAGACACAATATTAAAAAAGAACACGAAGCTGCTTTAAGTTTCAAAGACCTACTCACACTGCGATGCTAACACGATACAAGTTGGTTAGGAGAGTTCAGAGACTTGTAAAAAGTTCAGAGACATTTATTTGTAAAAATACATGGGTTTTTGTGCTGTGTGTGTGTGTGTTTTACCTTTTAATCCATGATCCTTCAAACTTAACATCTACATATTACTTCCAAGTACAGCTTACAATGCAAACTTTCCTATGATAAAAATGATCATTTAACCAGGCTCTTTACTAGAAAAGCATTTTCTCTCTCTAAAAAAATACTAAATACATTCTTGCAATTTTAACTTACCCTGTATTACAATTTTCAAACCACTTTTTGCTGCCTAGTGCAAAAATAAACTCCAACTTACTTTATATCACATCATCATACATTTAAAAGTAGAGAGATGGGGACTAATTAGGTTTGCGCAGTGCCCCACACCCTCATATTATTTGAATTGCAGTAACAGCTAAAAGCTACTAACCTGAGTCATCTTGTGATGACAGGAAACTTGTCTTTGTGAATCATGGCAGTTTCTACCCTCAGACGGTGATGGTTTTAGCTCATGACTTTCTCAGTGTGTGATGTAAATGAAAAGTAGTAGGAGTGAAAGCAGGGAGGTCCTTCGCGCAATGAGGCAATTCTGCGTGAGTCTTTGAAGGGAACACAGGCCCTATCAGGAAAAACACAAATACTAAATGTCATTTTACATAATAAAAACATTGAACCAGCTACAGCCCAGAGTGACCTCTTGACCTCCGCATAAATTACCCAGGGAAGAAGGGATTAGAAAGAACTGTTCCTCCATAGAGTATGCCAGAACGGTACGAGCAGTTTCTGAATTACTTCCTAAACTCTCTATAGAATATACAGTACTTTCTCCCCAAATTACACTGAATGATTTCATCCTGTTCCTAGAGAAATTACAAGCATGGAAAGTCAACTCTGAATCCCATGGCTTAATGAAATCTATACTATTTCAGACAATATTATTAAACTGCATTAAATCATTCCAGTGCTGTTTGCTCAATATTTGCTCAGAATATCAGCTACTTCCACATCACTTTAAGAAGTACTCCAATTCTTCGCTGTTCACATTTATTTTTCTTTTTTCGTAATACAGTGGGTCTGTCATGAAACCCATCAGGAGACTTAGTTACTTAAAGAAAAAAAATGCTTTTTGTATGCCAAAAAGCAGTTTGTAATGTAGAAGTCTTGGGGTATAAAATGAGGTCTGGGGAGATACCTCGTGTGATAGGAAAAGCTAATTCTGTAATACCTTGGGGCCCGCCTCCTTATCTGTAAATGAAGCAAATGGACCTTAATCTAGATCACGGTTCTCACCCATTTTCCCTAGTCTTCGTATTTTTTGTGTGGACACCTCACTATGACAAACTGCCTCTTGTTATACACAGTGATTCTCTGGATGGTGGGTGGTACGCGTGTGGCTTCCCCCAACGCCCCCCCGCTCTCCACCCCACCCCAGTCTTGGTCCCGATCTGATTATCACCGATCTGGGTGTGCTTTGGAAAGCTTCTGGATCTTCAGAATATGCCTATACATTTACACCACAGTCATCCGTCGGTCGTATCAGGGGTTCAATCTGTGCCGCTGAGAGCCACAAAGGCTGACTTTTTAGGAAGAACATTTAAGAAGGGTCTTGACAGAGCTATTAGTCAAAGGATCTCATCTTTCCTCCTGCAATTTTAGAGCCTACCTTTATCCTAAAGGAGATGACATTTGTTTACCGAGGCCCCATGCTAGTCCCAAAACTAAACGCTCTCTACTTGGATTCACCCTTCCATGTCCTGACCTCGACACTCCACGGTCACCAGCCAACTTGGCTGGCTATACCTTTCTTTCAGGCATTAGTTCCTAAATGCATTAACCCTCAGATATGCCACTTAAGATGTGTCAGTAAAAGTAGCCATCAAAAGGAATTGTAGGCAATGCAGAAGGCATCTGTTAGCTACTTGGATGAGAGCAGGGGTGGGGGAAGATTTCTGTACGCCCAAATCATCCCTCCAGTGCCTCTCCATATAAACAGACTTTCCTCACCTTTACTAAATTATGATCCAAATTTGCTTCTGTTGAAAATGTGGGAATGAATCATTTTATCTTCTCCAAGAAGCTGCTGGGCAAAGACAAAAGAGGGTAGTATCTATTGTTTAAAATGTTGAATTCAAATGAGCCCTTTAACTATATTAGCCATATATCTCTAGAGTAGTTAGCATTAAGAAACGTAGTTCCTCTCCTTTTCTCCTGAATAAATGGGAAACCATCTTCTAGGGCAAAGGCTTCTACCTCAAACCTGAAATTTTGTGGTTAGCCGTGTGTGTTCTTCCCTGGGGAAATGGGTCGGCACCTCAAATTATGTCTTAGGGGCCAAGTCAGTTTTGAGATACATAAAAATTCTGCAAAAATTCGTTCTTTCACACATTCACTCAGCAAATATTAGTTAAGCTTCTTGTGCATATAAAGTACAAGGGATAGAGATAAAACAATCTGTCCATTCAGGAACCCAAAATTTAATATGAGAAACAATACAAAGAAAGAAATTTAAAATATGTAGAAACTTTACTTTGGGGATAGATCTATACTGAGAGTTTCTGAATCCCCAAACTTATGCTGTATTTATTTAATCCTAATAATCTTATGTTATATATAATTAACCCCACAACAAATTACTAAACATCATAGCCCCTTAGGTCACTTAAAATTTTTCAAAACCGGGGCACCTGGGTGGCTCAGTTGGTTAAGCGTCTGACTTCGGCTCAGGTCATGATCTCACCGTTCATGGGTTCAAGACCCTCGTTGGGCTCTGTGCTGACAGCTCAGAGCCTGGAGCCTGCTTCAGATTCTGTGTCTCCCTCACTCTCTGCCCCTCCCCTGCCAGCACTCTGTCTGTCTGTCTGTCTGTCTGTCTCTCAAAAATAAACAAACATAAAAATTAAAAAAAAAATTCCTTTCCAAACCACAAATGCCATGGTCTCCCATCCAGTGTACTGCATATTATGATCCAGGTGCTATAGGAGCACACAGGACACGTACCTCATCCAGCTTGGAGCAGGGAGAGGCAATGAAGGCTCCCTTGAAAGGCTGGCATCAGACCTGGAGTTCAGAAGACAGAGAGTAAGTCAGATAAAGGGGCAGTGGGTGATTCTAGGCATAGAAAACAGCATAGGCAAAAAAAGAAACAAGACCTATTATATTCTCTGTAATGAACTTCAAGTAAATTAATAATAGTAAGACACACACACGCACTCATAATTTACCATCATCCAGGCTATTTTAAGCATATAACATATGTTAACTCTTAGAATTTACCCAATATCTATATGAAACAAGAACTAGTATGTCCCCCATTTTACAGTAAGAAAACCAAGGCACAGAGAATATTAGTGACTTTCCAAAGTTACAGAGCTAGTAAGTGGCAGAGCCAGGATCTGAACCTAGAAAGTTAGATTCCAGAGTTCACACTCTTAGCTCTCCATCTTGGGGAAAGGAGAACAGACAGGCAGGGCTGGAGGCGTAGGTAGCAGTCAGATCACGTAGGTCTTAGTTTAGCATTCTAGGGAGTTTGGATTTTATCCTGAACATAATGCGGAACCATTTAAGTATTTCAACAAGCAAAATAACAAAATTTGGGGTTTAAAAAATCTGCTTTGGAAACCTAATGATCATAAAGGTACTCACTGGACTTGAGAAAAGAGTGGAAGACATCAGTGAGACCTTTAGCACAGAGATAAGGAATAACATAGCAGAGATAAAGATTTAATAAATGAAACAAGAAACAGATTTGATGCAATTAATGACAGGCTGGAAGAAGAAGAGGAACAAATTGATGACCTAGAAGACAGAGTAATGAAAAGTAATCAAGGTAAACAAAAGAGAGAAAAAAGAATTACACAAAATGAGAATAGACTTAGGGAACTCAGTGACTCCATCCAGTGTAATAAGGAGACAATCCAACAAGAAGATATAACAATTATAAATATTCATCCAACATGGGACCATCCAAATACATAAAGCAGCTCATACCACACAGGGAAGTAGTCAATGGTAATATAATAATAGTAGGGGACTTTAACACCCCCATTTATATCAATGGCTAGATCATCAAAACAGAAAATCAATAAGGAAACAGTGACTTTGAATGATACATTGGACCAGATGAATCTAATAGATCTATTCAAAGTGCAGAATGGGAAAAATCTGCATCCAAGTATCTATCCAAAAAGGTTATCATTCAGAACCGGAGGAGAGATAAAGAGTTTCCCAGACAAACAAGAACTAAAGGAGTTCATGACCACGAAAGCAACTTTACCAGAAATATTAAAGGAGACTCTCTGTGGAAAGGAAAGATCAAGACTGACAGCGGTCTAAAACACAATACACAGTCATTTCAAGGGCACATGAAACATTTTCCAGAAGAGATTACATGGCGGACCACAAACAGTCTCAACAAATTCAAGAAGACTGAAGTTATACCATGTATCTTTTCCAGCCACAACACTATGAAACTAGAAATCAACCACAAGAGAAGGTCTGGAAAGTACCCAAATACATGGAGGTTAAATAACATGCTTCTAAACAATGAATTTGAATATACTGATTACCAACAAGGAGATTGAATCAGTCATCAAAAAACTTCAAATGAACAGAGTCCAGGACCAGACAGCTTCACAGGCCAACTCTACGAAGTAGTTAAAGAAGAATTAATACCAATTCTTCTCAAACTGTTCCAAAAAAGAGAAGAGGAAGGAAAATTTCCAAATTCATTCTATGAGACCAGCATTACCCTCATACCAAAACCAGATAAAGACCCCAGGAAGAAAGAGATCTACAGTCCAATATCTTTGATGAACATAGACGCAAAAGTCCCCAACAAAATACTAGCAAACCAAATCCAACAATACATTTAAAGAAGTTGTTCATGGTAATCAAGTGGGATTTATTCCTGGTATGCAAGGATGGTTCAATATTTGCAAATCAATCAACATGATACACCACATCAATAAGAGGAAGGACAAAAAGCCATATGATCATTTCAATAGATGCAGAAAAATCATGTGAAAAAGTACAACATCCATTCATGATAAAAGTCCTCAACAGAGTAGTTCTAGAGGGAACATATCTCAACATAAATAACCTCACCTACACCTAAAGCATCTGGAAAAAGAACAACAAACAACCCAAAACCAGCAGAAGGAAGGAAGTGATAAAGATTAGGGCATAAATAAACAATATAGAAAGTAAAATAAAACACCAGCAGAACAGATAAATGAAACCAGGAGCTGGTTTGTTGAAGAGATAAACAAAATTCATAAACCTCTAGCCAGACTCATCAAAAAACAGGAAAGACTCAGAAAAGGAAAATTACAAATGAAATAGAAATAACAACCAACACTACAAAAATACAATAGTAAGAGGACGTAATAAAGGCCTCATATGAAAATCATCATCCTCAATGGGGAAAACCTGATAGTTTTCCCTCTAACGTCAGGAACAAGACAAGGATGTCCATTCTCACCACTGTTACTCAACATAGCACAGGAAGTCCTAGCCACAGCAATCAGACAAGAGAAATAAAAGGCATCCAAATTGGTAAAGAAGTCAAACTTCCAATATTTGCAGATGACATGATAC